ACGAATTCGGATTCCATTGTTGAGTGAGTTATACATGTTTGTTTCTTGCTCGCCCAAGAAACAGCACCTCTGCCAAGTGTGAAAATCCATCCAGAAGTGGAATGTTTATCACCCACGCTTGTAATCCAACTAGCGTCGGTGTATCCTTCTAATACAGCCGGATAATTATTAAAGAACAGACCTAAATTTTTAGTTCTCTTAAGATAACCAAAAATTCTGTTAATAGCCCTCCAATGTTCTATACTTGGATTACTAGTATACCTACTCAACTTGCACACAGAATGAGCAATATCAAGTCTAGTACAATGCATCGCATACATTAAAGACCCTATAGCACTCGCATATTCAAGTTGTGCTACCGCTCTACCAGTATTATAGTTTAACTTAATACTGAAATCAAATGGAATACTTATTTCCTTGAAACCAAGATGCTGAAATTTATTTAGCATTTTTTCAACATAATTACATTGGCTCAAAGAATAACCCCCACCATGCTTTTTAACTTTAATACCTAAGATAGTATCTACTTCACCTAAATCCTTCATTTTAAACATGGAGGTTAGATACTTCTTAGTCTCAACTATTCCAGTCATATTTGTTCCAAAGATAAGCATATCATCAACATACAAGCATACTAAGACACCATAGTCTTTAGTGAATTTAGAGTATATACACTTATCAGCACTATTGTAGATGAAACCATTAGACAATATGACCGAATCAAATTTTTCATGCCACTGCTTAGGAGCTTGCTTAAGCCCATAAAGAGACTTCGTCAATTTACATACTTTCCTTTCATTTCCAGGAAGAACGAAACCTTCTGGTTGTTCCATGTAAATTTCCTCATTTAAGTCTCCATTCAAGAAAGCAGTCTTCACATCCATTTGATGAACACAAAGATCATAAATGGAAGCTATAGCAAAAAGAATTCGAATAGAAGTTATACGTGCAACAGGAGCATACGTATCAAAATAATCTATTCCTTCCTTTTGTCTATATCCCTTTGCCACTAGTCTAACCTTAAAAGCTTGGATAGAACCATCAGAATGATATTTTCTTCTAAAAACCCATTTGCAACCAATAGGCTTGGATCCTTTAGGTAAATCTACTAATACCCAAGTATTATTTGACATAATTGAGTCCATTTCATCATTTACAGCTTCTTTCCAAAAAGAAGCATCTCTAGAAGACATAGCATCAACAAAGCTTTTAGGATCGTCTTCTAAATTTAATAATAAAGGGTATTTATTTACCACGTTATTATCTCTGTCTCCTTCAACAAGGAAAACGTGAGTAATATAATCTGGACCTAAATCCTTAGATTTTCTTGCTCTAGAGCTTCTCCTCAATTCAGTCATGTCTCTAGAATTATTTGTTCCTTTCTCTTGAGAATCTACATGAGTTTCTATAGGTCTTGAATTATTTTCAATAATTTCAGAACCTGTAGAACATTTGTTCTCAAAGAATTCAACATCTCTCGATTCTACAATGACATTGGATTCTAAGTCAAGAAGCTTATCAGCTTTACTGTTTTCAGCATATCCAATAAAGACACTTTTGATAGCTCTAGGACCAAGTTTAGTTCTTTTAGGGTCCGGTACTCGATAGTATGCCAAACACCCCCACACTTTAAGATATGACATGTTTGGTTTTCTACCTTTCCATAATTCATAAGGGCTCACGTTATTTCTCTTAGATGGTATTCTATTATGAATATAACATGCAGTAAGCAATGCTTCTCCCCAAATATTAATTGGTAGCTTTGAATTCGAAAGCATACAATTAACCATTTCTCCGAGAGATCGATTTTTCCTTTCAGCCATACCATTTTGTTGTGGAGTGTATGGTGCGGAAACTTGATGAATAATACCATGTTCTTCACAAAATGAAGAAAATTCATTTAAGAAATATTCTCCACCTCTATCTTAACGTAGAACTTTGATTTTCCTTTCCAATTGATTTTCTACTTCAGCTTTATATTTCTTGAACATGGTGAATGCTTCATCCTTCGACCTCATGAGATAAACATATAAATACTTACTGCAATCATCCACAAAGGTAATGAAATACCTTTTACCGCCACGAGTTATCATTCCATTGAATTCACATATATCAGTATGTACTAAATCCAATAAACTCGAATTTCTTTTCACACTTGGAAATGGTTTCTTAATTAATTTAGACTTAGCACATATTTCACATTTATCAAATTCGCCATTGAAATTTATCAAGCCTAACCTTTTCATATTCTTTAAATAACGAATATTGATATGTGCCAACCTACTATGCCATAAAGATAGAGACTCAACGATATAAATAGAAGTAGCGATATTATTATTGATACTCAATTGATACATGCCATCATTGGCATAGCCCTTTCCAACAAATAGCCCATTCTTCGACAGGATAACCTTGTCGGATTCAAACAAAACCCGAAACCCCCTTTTACAAAGTAAATCAATAAAAACTAGGTTTTCCTTAATTTCAGGTACAAACAACACATTAAGAATAGTTATCTTCTTTCCAGAAGTGAAATCTATCTCCACCGTGCCTTTGCCAGCAACCTTTGCAAGAGCATTATTCGCCATCAGGACCTCTTGAGCATTTGTGTCGACAGTCTCTTCAAATTACTTGAACAAATATTTGTCCTTGCACACATGAACTGTCGCTCCAGAATCTAACCACCAACCGGATTGGACAGTGGCAGAATTGATCTCAGAAATCATAGCCATCGAACCATTGATTTCAGCAATATTCATATTTGAAAACTTGGTTGAAATCATGGCCACATAGTTCCCTTCAACCAAATTTGCATCTGCCTTCACCGTTGGAATGTTCTTGTCCTTTGATATGCTCTTCCAATGAATGCAGTCCTTGGCATAGTGTCCCTGTTTACCACAAACAAAACAACAACCCTTCTTCTTCTTGTGTGTCTTCTTAAATGTATGCCCATTCTTTACTTTAAAGTTCTGGCCGAATTTTCTTTTTCTCTCCACAGCATTTACCTTGGAATTATACAAAACAGAATTATCACGTGTACGTGACTCTTCCTCAATACGAAGATGTTTCTGTATTTGCTCCAAGGTGAAGTCCTCCGACTTATGCATCAGCCTTTTTCCGTAGTCTTTCCAAGTTGAAGGCAATTTTGCAATAATTGCTCCAACTTGAAAGGTTTCTGGAATTTCAATTTTGAGGGCACGGATTTTGTTGACGAGCACTTGTAATTCGTGGACTTGTTCAAGGGCTTAGTATCAATAAACTTGAAATCGAAATACTTTGCGATTAAATACTTATTGGTACCTTGCTCCTCCGCTTTGTACTTGAATTCCAGTGCGTTCCAAATTTCTCTGGCCGACTTCATCTCAGTGAACAAGTCATACAATCTATCAGACAGTGTATTCAGAATGTGTCCACGACACAGCAATTCGTCCTCCTCACGTTTCCTCTTATCCTTGTTAACCCTTTTAACGGCTTCCGCACTTGGTTGTTCTCCCTCAACAGTAGGCTTCGGATCTTCAATAGGCGCCAATTTTGGATCCAGAATATAGGATATCTTCAGGGCAGTGAGTAGGAACATCATCTTGTCCCTCCAGCGAGCATAGTTGTTCCCATCGAACCGATCCAGTTTGACCATGTCTTGATTCATGATTTTGATTGTCTCCGACTCCATTGTTGAACAAAATAAATCCTTAAGATTGTTGTAAATTTGAATGGCTTCGAATCAAAGAGCAATCAAGTCGGACTTTGAGGCGTGATATCACTTTCCTTAAGGATTTATTTGCCCCACAATTGTTGCTAATGGTCACCGGCAAAAATCCTCCAGGATACAACAAAGTCTCAAAATGAGAATACTAGATAGCAATTCTAGTATTTCTCCAGGGTCTCTCTAGGAAACAAAAGAAATGATGACTGTAGTTTTCGAAAGAAGACTTGAAGAAATTGATCTCTATTTTCTTTCTTGCAAAAAACTGACATATATAGAAATCGGTCTTAAAGAACATTGGCAACTCTTCACGAAAGGTTGCAAAGCTAACAAAGATATTCCTTCGGAAGAAGTTGCAAACTGAATAGATGCAACCCTTCGGAAAAGATTGAAAACTGAACAAGTATAATCTCCAAAAGTTGTCTTGGAAAGACACATGTAAAATTCGGAATAAAATAAATATATATATAATTCCGAATTTTCATAATTTCGAAAATTACTTAATAAAAAAAACAACCTTTCAACTAATAAAAATTAATAAGATAACCTTACAAAATAAAATAAAAATATAAAGGGATTAGTGCTAATTAAATTGTGGCCGCGCAAGCGTGCAAAGTGCTAAGTGCGCCTAATAATCGCGCACCCGCACGCGGGTATTGTGTGGACTAGCACACACCCCATTGTCTTCACTCTAAAGAGCAAGAAGATATTCACAGTTATAAAGTGGCCCACTTTCTCAAAACTTTCCTATGTGGGACAAAGGAAAATGCACTATTTTGTTTGTTTTACAAACAAACAACCAACAGAAAGCATTTGAGACATCAAGTTGACGAAAGTTCCAACCCCAAGAATACGCAAGAGCAATGATAGTGCGAATTGTTACAGGTTTTGCGACAGGGCTGAAGGTTTCATTGTAGTCTCGTCCTGCCCGTTGATGATATCCCTTACCTACAAGACAAGCTTTATACCATTCAAGAGAACCATCGGCTCGAAGCTTGACTTTGAAGATCCATTTACATCCAATGAGACAAGCATGAGTAACGAGCTCCCAAGTTCTATTTTGTCTTAAGGCAATGTATTCGGCCACCATGGCTGCACACCATTGAGGATCACGAGATGCCTGAGTGAAGCATGTAGGTTCAATGTAAGGATGAGCCGACTGTCATTGCATATGTGTGCTAGTGGTTGATAGTCCTGCGCGAAATAGAACCATCTTTGAGACAGGTAACCATCGAATGAGTAGTTGCAGAAGGGCAGGTTTCTGGCAAAGATGGTGTAGCTATTGAGACAGGTGGTGATGTCAATGATTCAGGCGGAGACGTTGAAGGAGGTGGAGGAGGTGGAGGCGTTGGAGGCACGAGTTGTGGAGAAGTGTTTGAAGTTGGGACTGGAGGTGGAGGTAGTGGTAGCACTATGTCCGGAATGTGAGTTGGCGTTGATGTAGAAGATATGTTGCTAAATGGGAAGCTTGTTTCATCAAAAATAGTATCAGCAGTAATGTAGAACTTGCGGGTAAGTGGACAGTAATAGCGATACCCGTGATAGCCTGGAGGGTAGCCAAGAAAAATGCATGTCTTTGATCATGGGGCGAGCTTGTGAGGAGCATAGGGCTGCCAATAGGGGAATACTGCACACCCAAAGATGCTTAGATAAGAAATGTCAAGAGGTGTCCCAAATAAAGCTTGCCAAGGATTAATATTACCAATGACAGGCGAAGGGAGTCTGTTAATGAGAAAGGTGCAGTCTCAAATGCAAACTCCTAGAATTCATATGAAATACTAGCATATGTCAAGAGAGCAAGGCCTGTTTCAACAAGGTGACAATGCTTCCGCTCAGCAACGCCATTTTGAAAAGGAGAATACGGGCAAGAGACACTTTGGTGAAGGCCATTTTGAAAAAGGTTAGCTCGAAATGTCGATGAGAGAAATTTAAGTGCACCACCACATTGTATTGCTTGCAATCTACACTGAAGTTGAGTCTCCACAAGTTATGAATAGTAATAAATGTAGATAAAATTGTGCACAGGTCGTGAGAGGATAATACCAAGTAAAACAGGAGAAATCATCAATAAAGCAAACATAATATTTATAAGGGTTAATACCATGAAAAACCAAAACTGGCACATCCACGATAAATTTATCTCAAACTAATTTTTTTATCACCAAAAACCCCAAACAGTACATTTGTAACAAATTTATCCTCCGTTAAATTGAATTAATATTTCGAAAAACCACAAACTAGTACACTTGTAAAACCCTAAACCGGTACACCCATCAACTGTTACATGTCATTCAACTCAAAAATTTGACCGTAAAATTTAACGGAAACTAACGGAGGGTAAAATTGTCACAGGCGTACCAGCTTGAGATTTTTTGTGGTCAAAAAATTAGTTTGGAATAAAATTACAGTTTGGGGTTTTTCGTGATATTAACCTTATTTAGGGATAAGGACACTAGAAGTGTCATAACTATCGTACGGCGCTCACTTGAGTGTCATAACTTTTTTTCGCTCACGTAAGTGCAACTTCAGACAAAAAGTGATCACTTGAGTTCCATTTCCGGCAAAAATAGATCATTTGAGTGCCATTTCCGGCAAACCATAATATGTGGATTTTTTTATTAATTTTCCATCCGACGTGGATTTTTTAAATGTTGTTTATTTTATTTATTTGAATTTTTTGAATTTTTATTTTTTTTTCCTTTTTTTCAATGCCTGCGAGGGTCACCGGCGACCCTCGCCGGTTGTGAAGGCCTCACCCAAATTGGGCGACGGCCGCCTTACCCTCGGCCGTTAAGGCCCTAGGCGAGGCCGCAAAGGCCGTCTGCAGATCAGGGCGGCCACGAGCGAGGTGGCCTCGCCAGATCTAGCGAGAGACTTCGCCGCCTTGCTCGCGGCCGCGAAGGCCCTTAGCAAGGCCGTCACAGGCAAGGCGGCGAAGGCTCTCGCCAGATCTAGCGAAGCCACCTCGCTCGTGGCCGCCCAGATCTAGCGACAGCTTTCGCGGCCTCGCCCACCGCTAACAAGGCCGCGATGACCTCGCCGAGGGCCTTCGCGGCCGCGAGCGAGGCGGCGAAGGCTCTCGCCAGATCTGGAGAGGCCACCTCGCTCGCGGCCGCCCAGATCTGGCGACAGCCTTCACGGCCGAGGGCAAGGTGGCCCTCGCCCAATCTGGGCAAGGCCTTCGCATCTGATGAGGGTCGCCGATGACCCTCGTCGGCATTAAAAAAAAATTGCAAAAAAAAGGAAAAATAAATTCAAAAAAATATTAAAATATTGTCCACATCGGATTTTCTGACTGCCAAATGGCCGATGACACTCAAGTGATTACTTTTTGCCGGAAGTGATACTTAAGTAAGCCAAACAAAAGTTATGGTATTCAAGTGAGCGCCGTACGAAAGTTATGGCACTCCTAGTGTCTTTATCCCACCTTAGTTATAACCACTTAAAGACATTACAGGAGAACGCTTCCAATATCAAAATGTACCAGCTGTAAAGGAGAAGGGTGGGAATGGCAATGGCTTTTACTAAGATCACATGGCATACATTTAGTGGAGGGTGAGCTATTAAAACTAGTCCTGGTGGAACGTAGTAATTGAACTAAAGCATCGGAACGTGCATGGCCCAAGCGGTGATGCCACAAATTTATTGAACTAGAATGAGAGGCGGCAAAAACTGACGAACACACCATGGGCAGAAAGAGCAAGACGTGATAGAGGCCATTCATAAGTCTGCCTTGGAGTAGAATATGATTATTGCGATGAGAGATCGCAAGAAAATATGTGCCATAAAACAAGAAAACACAAGAAAATTGAGAGATTGATAATAAGTTTTTGGGTTATTATCACGAAAAACCCCAAACTGATATACTTATAACAAATTTACCGCAAACTAATTTTTTGACCACCAAAAGTCCCAAACTAGTACACCTGTGACAAATCTACCCTCCGTTAGTTTCCGTTAAATTTTACTGTCAAATTGCTTAGTTAAATGACACGTGACAATTGACGAATGTACCATTTTAGGGTTTTACCCTTCGTTTGTCCCATGTGTACTAGTTTGTGATTTTTTTGTATTAATTCAATTTAATGGAGAGTAAATTTGTTACAAATGTACCAGTTTGGGATTTTTTGTGGTAAAAAAATTAATTTTTGATAAATTTGTCATAGGTGTACCAATTTGAAATTTTTTGTGGTCAAAAAATTAGTTTTTGGTAAATTTATCGTAGAAGTATGGTATTAACCCTGAGTTTTTAGTGATAGATGGTACTAGGGGGTGACCAAGACAAACCGACCAAATCAGGAACTGCCCAGACCGGACCGGACCGGACCGGACCGGCCGGTTTGGTTCGATTTTCGGTTCTTAAAAATGGAATTGGTGTCTGGGCGGTTTGGTTTTCCAGACTGATTATTTTACAATAATTTTTTTATTTTTTAAATGTAAACCTCATAATCTAAAATCCATCACGCACGCCTCCTCTTGCTCTCCTCTTTTGATCTTTTCGAATTCGCCCACGATAATCATGCCTCCTCTTCAGTCTTTCCCTCTCCTCGCTTCTCTATTTCAGTTGAAACTAGATGTTCTTTACTTACATTTGTCTCATATCAAACACAGAATCAACTAGGTTTTTTCTATTCGATTTTTTTGAAGAGTTATCAATTTTGAACTTTGAGTTTAGCTCAATTGCCTCAAATGGTGACCATCTCGGTAGAATGGGAGCTTAGTTCGACTGTTTCTATCATCTATTCTAAATTTTGGGCAAAAGAACACTACAAGTGTCATAACTTGTGTACGGCGCTCATTTTAGTGCCATAACTTTTTTTTGGATCACTTTAGTTCTAAATTTTTTGAAAAACGATCACTTAAGTGCTAAAATTTTTGAAAAACGATCACTTAAGTGCCAACTCCGGTGCCGTACACAATTTTTCGCCGGAAATCTGACGTGGCATTTTTTTTATTAATTTCTGAAGCTGACGTGGCTCGCCGGAGTCTCGCCGGAGATTGGCACTTAAGTGATCGTTTTTCAAAAATTTTAGCACTTAAATGTTCGTTTTTCAAAAATTTTAGCACTTAAGTGATCGTTTTTAAAAAATTTTAGCACTAAAGTGATCCAAAAAAAAGTTATGACACTTAAGTGATCGTTTTTCCTCCGACTTGGCACCAAAGTGATCCGAAAAAAAGTTATGGCACCAAAGTGAGCGCCGTACACAAGTTATGGCACTTATAGTGTCCTTTTGCCCTAAATTTTGTAAAACAAAAACAGTAATATAGATATTTCATATTGATTGGTTTTTCCATCCTAATGCATGCTTGCCTTTTTTAATTTTTGTGTAGTGAAGCATTAGAGACCAACTAATATGTATGAAATCTTTCCGCTTGGCAACCGGAATCAAAGGTACTATTTTGATGACTCTGATTAAAATGAAGTGTTTGAAAATGATCAGTTCCACTAGACCACCCGGGAATCGGATCGGACCGGACGGTCCAATCCAGTCTGGTCCTGGTTTCAAAAACTGAGAATTGGTCCCTCTAGTTCGGTTCCTAGGTGGAATCGGACTGGACCGAGAGCCGATCACTCCTAGATGGTACAACTAAAACATTAGATAATCAAAAGAAGTCCAAAATGCGGGCTCGAGTGTACCTATGTAGATGATAGGAAGAGGAACTTCATCACCCATAGTGAGTTTTTTAGGCTACGAATGATAATCATTATGTTTCTATTTTTCTGTTCCAGAAACAGGTTTGGAACAGAAATCCGATTAGTAACGCAATTTCATTTTTCTATTTCTGGAACAAATTTTGATTTCAGAAATATGTTTGGAACAGAAATAAGAAGTTAAAATTTTATACTTTTCTATTTTTAAAACATAAATGAAAAGTTAAAATTCTTCTCATCGCTCGCTTTCGCTACTAGCCAGTCGCCTACACGCCGCCCATCGCCGGCAAGTTCGCCGTCTCCCGCCGCCGCCCGCCGTCCACCGGCCACTGTCTCCCATCACTGGCCGGCCTCCTCCAGCCGACGCCCGCCACCCATCACAGGTCACCTCCCACCGTCCACTGGCCGCCGTCTCCCGCCGCCGCCCACCTCCCCCTGCCGCTCGCCGTCCACCGGCCGTCGTCTCCCGCCGCCGGCCGCCCTCCTCCAGTCGCCTCCCACCATTCGCCGTCTCCCGGCGCCGACCGTCGTGGGCCGCCGCCCGCTGTCCACAGGCCATTGTCTCCTGCCGTCGGCCACCCTCCTCCCACCGCCGGCCATCATCTCTCGCCGCTCGCCTCCAACTGCCTGCCACCGTCTCCCACCGCCCACCTCCCATCGCCGTCCACCGGCCATCCTCCTCCCGCCGCTGCCCACCTCCCCCCACCGGCCGCCGTGGTCCGCGCCACCCGCCGTCCACCGGCCACCATCTCTCGCCACCGGCCGCCCTCCTCCCATCGCCGTCCACCGTCCTCCACACTGGCCGCGTCGCCGTCCGCCGCAACCTACCCCCACCACCCGCCGTTTGCTGCCACCGTCCGCCGCCCGCCGTCCACTCGTCGACCATCTGAGAGGGAGAAATTTTGTACCGTTATTAAACAAATTTTTGTTTCAGGAACAGAAATTTTGTGCCATTATCAAACGTATTTTTTTGCTCATAAACTCATCCAGAAACAGAAATAGAAAAATCAATTTCTAGACATAAATTAATTTCTGAAACAGAATGATTATCATTTACAGCCTTAGTGCCTAAGTACAGAGTAGCATTGGATAGCGCAACAGGACTATAGTAACAAGTTGAGACGCACCAGAATCCGGGCACCATGACTCAGCATCCAGAGTAGAAGGAGGAGAAGCAATAGGAGCATGGGACACGGATGGGGAAAGTGAACTGTAGTACGCGTGTGCTGGGGGTGGGCATGGTTTGGATTGTAAGTGCTTTGAATTTGATGGGCACAATGGATTTGTTGTGTTGGTGGGGGAAGGATAAAATGAGGATTGTATCTTTTTCGACATGTGGCAACTTTGTGACCCGCGTAACGACACAGCTGGCAATAGAACTCATTTCGACGATGGCCGCGGCTAGTCGAAGGTTGAAGGGGCGCTGGTTAGGTGGGTCCTGGATTGTACCCCAAGGAGGAGTTCGGGAAGATTGTAAAAACTGGTTCTGGCAGCTTTGGTTGCCCAAAGAATTGAAACTCTGTGTCGGCACCGGTGTAGGCGGCAAATGCTACGGGCGGTGGTTGGGTAATTTCAAATGCTGAAATTTCAAGACTACCTTCATGAGACAATAGTAGTCCGTGAATGTCTTCTCTACTCAAATGAGAAGCTCGGGTCTACACTGATATTGCTGTCGCCAGCTGATTAAATTCAGCACCAAGCCCACGGAACAAGTGGGTGTGATATTCGTTCTCAAAAATGGTTTCACCAATTATTAATAATTGATCTAAAATCTCTGTAGCCTGCTGAATATATTATGTTAGCGAGCGTGGGCCTTTCTTCATGGTTTAAAATGTGTGCAAAATGTTTAGAACTCAATTGCCCAAACAAAAAAGGTTTAGGATTGAATTGGTATAATAGCAATAGGTTTAGGACTTTTTTGCTAATTTTCCTGAATTAATTCCAATCCATGTGTTTCTCCGAGAAAGTACCCACAGCGAAATATAATACACCGAACGTCATTGTTCGGCTTTTTTATAAGAAAGGATCGGATTCAGTGGCAACTCCAGAGAGGAGATTTCCAGGCGAGAAAGAGGAACTCACTTGATTTTGATCGAACAAAATAAATTCAAGCCGTGACAATATTTGATCAATAGGAAACTTAGGCAACACAACCAGTTCTAACAAATCCAACTAGCCGCTGACTGACATCATCACACTTGAACTTCGTTGATGCCAAGTTACACTGACACTAGACTTAAAACATAAATAGCTACAACTAAGGAAACTTGAAGTACAGAGTAAAAACTTCAAAAATAAAAAGGCAGCAATTTGATTGCGGGTCGAGTGGTGGGGGGGGGGCGCTTTGGCTATCGGGTGGTATCTGTACTGTAAGTGTGATAACCATCCTCTAATGACATCTGTTAGTCCACGTCAAATAACTGACATTGATCTCGTCTTCATCCCTAATTCTTGCGACACTTGTTAATCTACGTCAAGTAACTGCCATCGATCTCATCTTCATCCTTCATTCTCGCGACATATGTCAATCTATGTCAAGTAATTGCTGTCGATCCTGTCCTCATCCTTATTCTTGCAACACCTGTCAATCTATGTCTAGTAACTGCCATCGATCTCATCCTCATCCTCATTCTTGCAACACCTGTTAATCTATGTTAAGTAACTGCCATTGATCGTGTATAATACCATGTGTTCTTGTTCTTATCGATAACTTACGTGACTCGGTCCTCATGCAGTAACGGTTTCGTCGATAATCTTTAGAACAAATCCCCAGGCGGTAATTGTTCCCTCTTTGATTTCAGTCTTTTCAAATTTCAAACACTCAAAACTTCCCGCCGACATATGACTTAGTGGCTGCCAAGTGTCTATCGTTGTACTTTCGACAACTAAACTTATGGCTTACATCATTTATCATCAATGGACCTATGTTTTACCAAATATTACACTCAATGTGCGTTTATCTCCGCTATTCTGAATATTCCCCGATAATAATCTATTTAGACAACCTAAGTAATTATTTGTGTCAACACCAAGAAATTCGAAAGTTGGGTGAGGAACGCAGATAATTCTTCAACAAAACAAATCGAATATTCATATGGATACTGGCCTAAAAAATGTCGATTCCTTAGTCGTTGACTTATTAAAATTCTATTTCTCAAATTGATATCGATCAAATGATTCAGTATGCGGTCTAAAGATGCTAAACTGGCATGGACGTGTTAAGTTAATCAAAAGAAAAGCAAAAAAATGGAAATGGTGAACATTAGAGTTTATTTAGTGATGTGGACATAAGGATGGAAAGACGAAGTGAGAACATGAATTGATTAAACTCAAGAAAATTAATGGGGTCTAATTGATTAGCCAGAAAGGAATAATAATCTACAGCAGTACAACATTCGGACCAAGTTTTTACTTCTCCACAGGGGTGGAAAGACCTAGAAGACATATTTCTTGGTTTCTTCGAGTGCACTTGTTCACACCAAGAAAAGGGTTTGTTAATCAATAAAAGAAAAGACAAAGGCTTGAAGAAAACTGTTTCTGGACTGATGTCGTTTGGAAGATCTCTGATGATCAGCTGTTTTTTGGGGATGGTAACTGGAAAACTCTGTCTCTTTGAGCAAATCTGTACCTTTCTTGACCAAATGATCCCGTCAATACTACTTTGGTTGTACACGTTTATCTGCAAGAAGCAAATGGAAATAATTTGGCCAATGACAACAGCAGATATACCAACGTCAAACACTAGATAATGCTTAAATTATCTTGCAACTAGTGAAAAAAGAATGTGAGATTCCCTGTAGCTTATGTTCAATTTTAATAACATTGCTCTGGCGAGAGAACTTAACATGAATGTGTAATATATGTATAGAATGAATGTTAAAGTAGCTGCCACAAACTACACGAGTCTAGATCCACGGTTCGTAGGTACAATGCAGTTTGTTTCATGCAGGTTATTTTGCAGGGTTGAAATGGAAGCAGATATTTCACCAAATTGCTCCAAGTCCAATGTAAGAGAAGTTCGCGGTTGGCTCAATCCTTCGATGCAGGGGATCGATGAGTTCTGGGGAATGCCCAAAGGCTTAATCAGCTGACTGTGAGGACCTAATGAGATCGAATAAAACCAGTGAACATTGTAATCAGGAGATGTTTCGAAAATCATATGAGATAGTACAATACTACTTCCCCGCTTATCTCGGATGAGGCGATCTTTGTTCTGTGCATCGTCTCCGGCTACAGCTTAGGAGCTGTGTTATCCAAGCCTACTATATTAGGACAAACTCCAAACATCTTGTAAACGCATATAGGGGTGTAATTATTTTTCACACATGGTGCGATTAACATACATTGTCACTTCAACAGTTCTGTCCGTCGGCATATTGAAAATATATCATATAGAGACTCCATGAATGATCCTGTATGAACAAAAATCGCAATGCAGAAGATGTCCTCAAATGTTTCTTTAGCTGGTCTCTAATGTGTGAAACCCAATGGAGGTCTCTTTTAATTGTACTTAGTCTGGTCTAGTAGAATTACTCTAAACAATGATGACTCGACATTGCGCAAAAAAATGGCTCAAATTCATTGGTACAAGACAGGCACAATGGCAAATAAAGACCACAAAGCATTACAAAGGCCGAGTCGAAGGCATATCAGCTTAACTGACAGTTCACTTGACACTGACAGGATTTGGCACCAAAGAGTGATGAGAGAGAGAGAGAGAGAGAGAGAGAGAGCAATCCAACCAGACTCATATACAGCTTGCAAGTATAGTAGTGTCTCGTTGATCTAAAATCCTGGTAGAAAGATGTCGGACCAACTCCTCACAACCGTGCCTCCCTCAATCTTACTCCATGCCTGGTAACAGTATTATCCACATATTGTGAGATGGTTTGACGACTTGCGAAACCATGCATATATATACATGGATTTCTTCCTGGTACGAGGCTAATATGTTGACTCCGATGGAGAAGCAGAAAGGAAGCTTCAAGAGACACGAACCGTGCATTGAGGTGGAAAGAGAGAACTAAATCTTGTATGAATCTCCCCCCCAAGTCTCCCCTTTCTTGTTTCACTCGAGAGTACAAGAAAATAATCCATGGATAGTCTCTCTTTTTCCTCAAAAACTTTACAGAACACTGACCAATCACAAACACCGAAAGACACTTAGCAACGCTTAAAGCAAAGGCAATACAGAAGAAAATCGAGATGAAGCCAGCTGAAAATATCAAGATGAAATGTAAAGGAAGACAGCAGAAAATGTAATTTGCCACAGTTTATCACACAAGACCTTAGGTGCCTTTGGTTGAAGAGAATTTTTCAGCAGTCAGAAAATGCATACAATGGCATCCTTTAAATTGTATTCTTTGGTAGTTGGCAACAGTTTTGTACAAAACTGAAGAGCAAAAGGTCAGCAACATGTGCACGGTGATTTATAATGTCTGGAACCCAATTCGGCAAAAGCATAAAACTAATGGAAAAACCAATCTTCTCCAGTACTGAAGGTGATGGGAAGTTTGAACTGTAAAGTAAATGGAAAAGCGTACATGAATCTTCCCACAATCTAATAAAAATGTTCATCCTATCAAAAGTACGAAAATTCTTCCACAATAGCAGTGGGAAAAGGAAGCTGATGAACATGGTGGAGGTGGAAGGCTTTGTCATGAATAAAAATAAATCCAGTTGCAAACAAAACCAGAAAAACGTCACTGAAAGGACCCTCGAGTTTTCACTAAACTCAGGTTAAACCCGAGGGAAATCCAAAACAACTCTGCATCTCAATAGCTCAAGGATCTGTAAGATTTCAAGTCCCAGGAAGGACTTGTTTGGTTCTTCAGGCAAACATTTCTGAGGCATCGACCTCGATAAGGAATAGAAAGGACAACGGCTGGAAGAACAAAGCGAGGAGCCTTGAGGGAGAGAGTTCAGGCAAGGTCGAGTCCTCTTGGAGTCTCGCTAGTTCTTGATGGATCAACTTTCTTGGCCAATACGGCAAACCTTTAGATGGCGAAGAGAGAGGAGGACACTTGAAGCAATAAAAGGGGGGGTATATAATAAGAGGGCTCGCGGCTTTTCGACCAACTTAGAAGCCAAATGACATTGGAAGCTCCCCAAATTTATGTGGGGAAAAGAAGGAGAAACTTCAAAGGGCTTTACGTCTAGGTTATTGGAAATAAGTTGGCCCCAATACCTAGGAATTTGTTTGTGTGTATGTGTTTGCATTGCCGGATGAATTTCCTAGAAGTTGAAGTTGCAAGGTAGGTTTTAGTCTCCCTAGTCAGTTGAAGATAACAAAGAATAGTGAAGCGAAAAGGATGCTAACGTGTCATAACTTTTGGACTCGATCACTTAAATGTCATAACTTTTAAAAAAGACGTTCGTCGATTTTTATTTAATAATAACATATTCGACGTAACTTTTTTAAAAGAGAGTTAAGTCTAAAGTGGAAAAACGACCAAACCACGTGGCAGACCACTGGGAAACAGCACCGCATCAAAGATATTAATGGAGGTTCAAAATTACTGATTCTCTCTCTCATTTACCACGAAAGATCAACAATCTCCTTCGACACTGCTTTTCGAAAGGCTTGTACCCAAAATTCTTCCTTCGCCAGAAAGACGACGAGACTTTTGTTTTTTATCGTAATGGAATCAAGGATTTAGGCCTTGATATCCTACAAAATATTGTTGATAATGAACTCCTTCAAGCTCGTTCTTTGGAAGGTTCATGCTCAGATTTTATGACTCGATGCAAATTCTGCCTGGATCTGAGTGATCAGAAATGTGAAGTTATTTGTAGAAGTTGCTGCAGCAAGTCCATAAATTTCTACTGCTACAGAGATGAATTACGCACTTGTCATCTGAGCGGGAGATGTGCCTTTCTCCGCACATAAAGAGGAGCGTTGCCATGTCTGCAAGTAGAGTTGTGAGCATGAAAAGGTAGCTTATCAGTGTCCCCTTAGCTCTCCATTGCAAATTTCAGAAGCAACTTCTCATGAACCTGCAACTTTTCGATAGGCAGATGAAAATGGGATCTAGAGTTTTCAATTGGAACCAAATTCAGCCTCGAGTCATCAATTTGGGGCAAGGAATGCACTGAACAACATCTTTCTATATGATCTTAATGTTCTCATTTCCCTAGGAAGTCATGCCAGAAATAAAATTAATACCACATCGGGTTTTTTGACAAGGGAAATCGTCAATGTTACTCAAGCGGACATTTTTTTAAAAAGTAATAGCACTTCGGTGATAGATTGAAAAGTTATAGAGAAAGTGAGCATTACACAAAAATTATGGCACCGCTAGTATTTTTGTTTCCCCAGATAGCAAGGGTAAAAGGAATGTTATGTGCAACCTAATTTACACTTTACATACCACGGGTTGATAAGTAAATAGGACAGGAGTCAATGTGCTCCCTTCTTCTCCTGTGATGCAACTTCGAGGAAATGTTTCCCAGGATAGAAAGTTGACTTTTGCGAGGATCTCGATCCGTTCATAAATTTCTTTTATTTGATTCCAAGGCCCAACCGTGGATCATATTGAAGTCTCAAGCCAATGCACATCTCAAGTACAAAAGGAACCTTAACTACTTTGTTTCTTCCGTCCTCGTTCAGTATGCCACGATTAACTCAAAGCTAAGGAGGCTTGCCATTTCTCTAAAAACCGGTGGGTTTCATTGCACCCCCCACAGAGATTTTTCACCCTGATTCAATAGGAAACCGTAATGCCAACAAAAACTAGCCAACAAGAGTGAACATGTTGCTCTGGCATCTCATTGGCAGCAAGAACTCTCATTGGTTAAGTAGAAAGGAGAAGCTTACACAATGATCTTTCCGCCGAAATGGATATTTGTCGTTGTGCGCCTTTTTAATTAGCCTGGACCATAACAAGGAGCTCTCTCTCCCTCTCGCTCTCTCTCTCACCACAGACACGCACGCACACTACCCTCGAAGGTAAAGTTGTGCTTCTTATTTTTTACGAGATTACGTTTTCCAGGCTGCAAGTTCCAGAGCCCTTGCTTGGGTCTGGAACATAACCAATCATACTTCCACTCTAAGAGAAGAACACGTAATTGACCCCATATAGATCTAGTTAAGGTCTATTGAATGGCTAAATGAAAAGGACTATATGTATTTTCCGTCCAAAGCACACCAATCAGAAGAACAATATCCAATCAGTTATAACAACTATCCAGGAAAAAAGAACAAATAAACGAAAGAGAAACAAGAAAACCCAGCCACAACCGAATGAAAAAACCAAAAGGATCAACAAATAGACAAGCAAAACGATACTGTTCCACGTTTATGCACGCTAAACTCATCTACGATATGGAGACTAGCAAAACTTGTACCAACAGTGAAGAAATAATCAAACAGTATCACTCCTCGATGGCCTAATATACTCACAAAGCTAGAGGATGAGGACAAGGAGGAAGACGATCACAGCCACCACAAAGATTGCCAACAACCACCAACACTGCCAAATCAACAAAGAGAAAACTCAGTAATATACAGAAGATTTAATGAAAACGCTTTACGAAAACTATAGAAGAAAAAGCCCAATCCTTTCACAGAAGATATTACACATCCTACTAAAACAGTCAGCATGTGACATTCTCGGAACTCAACAAAGGATATTAAGAGTCAAAATTTATTCTATGATCACGTGGAACCACTGCATCCCTGAAATATATCTAAGAAAGTAATTGGCTTATTGGTCCTCAAGCCACGTCTTCTACCTTCTGTTTCTATTGGATACTAGTTAAACATGCGGATCCAAAGACTAAGCTGAAGTTGCAAGAGGGGGTGATCAAAAATTGTGATGATAAATATCAGGTTTAGGTTATGTATGACTTCTTCTAGTGTATCATTCTTGTTCATATACAGGTGAGCACACCTAATAAGCCTGATAACCCAATTCTTTCTTCGATAGGCTTCTGGTCAAGAGGTGTTTCTCCGGGGATGTAGAAAGCCTAAGTTGACATCAACAATTAAGTTGAGGTTAAGGGGTAAAGATTAACGGTGCCTGAGAGGACCAAAGACTTGGTTCCCAAGATGCCCAACAAACTTGGGCTTGGGCGGCTTTTGCCATCAATTTCGCAAAGAGCACGAGATCACCTCTTAGATCAAGCAAATTATTTGGTACCCAAGAGTTTTCTCCCAATGTGCTCTCACACGGAATTTTCCAGAACTTGTTCAAGGATAACTAGAAAGTCTCGACTCAAGAGAAGATAATGTAACCAGAGGAACTAGGTGTTTTGAGATACAAAGAACAACTGAACATTCATTATACCAAATTAACCGAACTACTTTATCATTTCTCTGCTATCTGATTCTGATTCTTTTCTAACTATTCTTCTCCAAAGAAAAAGGAAGCAGAAGAATTAGCGTCCTTGTAAATGACCCTCTATGACACAAATGAAATCGTAGAGTGATGCCTTTGCCATCATGGCAAGTCAAGTTACTGGCCTACAGGTAGCAGCGACAGCTGTGGCATCCTCAGCTGCATTCAATGTTAATATTACATATCCTTTCTTAAAGCAAAGGACATGAAAACCACAATGAATTTTAACTTAAACTACAATTGACAATTTCTGGTGGCAATTTATTTTAGATATTTCAAACAATGTTTTCTGATATCTGGCTATCGACGTTGTCAATGGTAAATGAAAGAAAACATGATCTGATAGTCAAGCTAGATACTCACCCATGAGGATCTGGATTTCGTACTTTTAGAAGCTTTAACCAGTTGAACTTTCGCTTGTTTTGTCGCAGCCGCGGAATTCTCAATGTTTGATTGAATATCATCTGTAATGTTGAAATATGTGATCATATGAAAACCAAAGTTAAAAAATCAACAGAACCAGGAGAAATTTAGCACAGGAAATCAGATGGCTTCGTGTTATTTTGGCAACTTACCAATTACCACGCCCTGCTCGTGAACTAAAACAGCAAGGTCCCTGAATATTTCATTTGCTTGTCCAATTTGTTCCTCTACTTCTCTTATACCTTGTTCTCTTTCATCAATCATAGCCTCATTGAAAGCAATTTCATTGTCTAAAAGCACAACCTCCTGCCTGAAATAGAAGAACTGATATTATTTGATTGTAGACATGGCTTTAAAATACTTGACTTTTGTCTTCCATTTCATTAGCATGAAATTTAATCATGTTTAGCCAATAAGATGATGGAAATAAAAGCTGAAAAAAGACTACATTGAGCCTCCAAGGCTCTATTGCATCGAGCGGACAACAGAACAAACACATTTTTGCAAGTAACATAAATTACAAACCCGAGATTGCAATTGATAGCTCCCAGCATGAATACTACTATTCAAAAGATCACCAAAGAATATAATGTGCACCGCATGTAATATCCAACATTGAACAAGCCATCGAAACAAGACTCAATGGAAATGGGTTCCAAGCCTATACCAACCTTGATTAATCAACATCAAAATAATTCGGCAGAGTATTGAAATTCCCTACCTCCTCTGATCCATAAGAAAAGGTTGGTATTCTTGGTCCATTCTAGACGCCACTTGCTCATCAGACCCGGAACTGTCGGAGAACCAGTCGAGACAGACCCATTAGTCAAGAATCAAACAAGCCATTATCTTTTCCCATTAGACACAGACCCATTAGTCAAGAATCAAACAAGCCATCATCTTTTTCCCAAAAATCAAAACACAACAATCCCAATAGACGGACGTACGTTGTCGCAGAGGGAGGAGGACCAGATGGAGCGTAAGTAGACTCGCGCTCGGCCGCGAGCTGCTGAACTTTCTGGAATTCTTGCAATGTAGTTTGGAAATCCCTCGCCAGCTTCGCATCTTCTATCTTCTTGCTCGGCTGAAAAGAAACGCAACGCACGCGGATGCATCAAAATCGGGGCTCAAAATTTCAATCGAACTCCATAATCTCAGCAGAGATGGAAATCAAACCAGATCATGATGTAAAAGCGCAAGGCAAAAGCGAGCAACGAGAGAGATCGTACATTGACCCTGGAGTCGTGATCGGATTCGCTCAACGCCTTGAGCTTCGCCGAAGTGTCCTTCACCAACTGCAGTATCCTCTGCCTCGTGCTGTGCCTGCAATGGACATTGCCTTCATCAGGCACCGCAAAAAGCGAGCAACGAGAGAGAGAGAGAGAGAGGTGAAGCGGAGACCGACAGTTTCTGGCGGTGATCGGGGGTGTCCTTGGCGGTGCCGATGCCGTCGACGAGGCGGCGGAAGCCGGCGACGGCGGTGTTGATCTGGAAGATCCCGGCGGCCACCGCCTGCGAGGGGCTCTGGGACCGGGAAGAGGCCGGCCGGGCGCCGTTCTGGACGTCCTGGAAGCTCATCCTCCGTCCTCCGACCTTCGAGCTTCCGGAATCACCGTCGCGACTCGATGACGATGACCAAGTAGGAGCACGGCGAAAGCTTGCAGTCACGTTCACGAGCAACAGGGGAGAGGGAAAAGGTCGTGCGGCGGTTGTGGATTAGAGGAAACTTTTTGCTGCTTCCAGATGATGGAAAGGTCGACAAAGTGTTTCCCCACCCAGACTGGAAATAGTAAAATTATTTTTCGCTTTTGTGGTACTCCTTCTCTTCTTCCTCCTTTAGCTAACACGAAAATTCACACTTCTTTTATTTTTTTTTTGTTTTCATTTTTTTTGTCGGAAAGATAATAATATCACCTCGTTAAGAGATCGTTCGACCGGCACATAAGTGCACATTCCAAACATAAAAGAGCCGAAAGGGCTTGAGGGGATATAAAATCCGATCGGAAGGAAAGTTTTTCCTATGATGGGCTTTTGGCGACCCGGTCCGCCACTTTATTTACTTTTCTGCTGCAGTGAGCTGCTCTTAAATTTGAAAGGACGCTCGAATGAGTTTGGGCTTCTCTTGATTAGTAGACTTACCTCTCACGAGGGTTGATTCGTGCTAATTATACACCTTATCAGATTAGATTGATCCGAGTGTGGTTCCGAAGAAGTTTCCGACCTTGATCAATAGTATTCTAGGGTTTCCAGCCAAGCGAGCACTTCGGTTTGCACAACAGAGGACGCCTCAACCGTGCACGCGAAACCATCGACCAGAAGACCCTAGCTATCGCGATACGCCCACGCTATGGCACCTTCAATTTTCCCCCAAATAGGCAAAACCTTCATACTTGAAAGAGTTAAATCTCAAGGGTTTTTACAATTTCAAAAGCATGATTGATTATGCTTAATTATCAAGTCGGTAGATAGGGACGGATCTATTGTAAATAATTTCGACGACCAATCGACCCTCGATAGCGTAAAAGTTTCTTTGTGGCATGGTTCAAGCTTACACAAGCTTTGACATATAGATGAGACCTAAGAATGTCGGCACACTTGGGGCGTGTAACGCTCATATGCCAAGTATCCCAAGAGATGAAGCACGTGCGCTGGTCTGTTTGGTAACGTTTCTATTCCCAAGAATAATTTCTGTTCAAAATTTTTTTTTTCTATTTTTATTCCTTGGACGAGTTTCTAAGAAGAAGAACGTGTTTGGGAACTGCACAAAAATTCTATTCCCAGAATAGAAAAAAAAAACATAAATGCGTTTGGTACGACCCTAAAAATTTCTACTCCCAATTTTTCATTTAATTATAAAAATGTCAGTAGAAACTTAGCAGTTCATGTTTGAATAAAACTGGACTAAAAATAGAATCAAAATATATTATGATATAAAATTGAATGACCTTAATTCAAATATAAAGAAAATTACTCCTTATAGACAAAGCATATCAGGTAATGGTCGAGAAAATTGCAGTTTAGGGTTTACGATTTTAGGGTTTGGGGTTAGGGTTTTAGGGTTCTGGGTTTGGAGTTTGGGGGTTTCGGGTTTTGGGTTTTGGGTTTCGGGTTTCGGATTTTGGATTTATGGTTTAGGGTTTTAAAGATTCGGGTTTTGGGGTTTGGGGTGTAGGGTTTAGGTTTCGAGTTTCGGGTTTGGGGTGTTGGGGTTTGGGGTTTAAGTTTTAGGGTTTGGGGTTTATGGTTTATGGTTTTAGGATTTAGGTTTTGGAGTTTAGTATTTAGTGTTTCAGGTTTGGGGTTTTAGGATTTGGGATTTGGGGTTTTGAGGGATTTAGGGTTGGTGTTTTAGGGATTTAGGTTTTGGGGTTTGAGGTTTAGGATTTAGGGTTTTAGGATTTAGAGTTTTGGATTTAGGGTTTTATGTTTAGGGGTTTTAGGCTTTGGGTATTGAGGTTTAGGGTTTTAGGGTTAAGGTTTAGGGTTATAGGGTTTCGGGTTTAGCATGAGAATATCTTGAGAGAGAGCTGATCTTGTTTCTTTATTGTTTCTCTTTTTGTTCTCGGGAATTGAAAAGTAGATTGTTTTTACTTTTTATTTCTGTTCTAAATCTATTCCCTAGCCACTTTTCTATTCTAGTGAATAGAAAAATTAATTAACATTACCAAACGGATTTCTTAACTTTTTCTATTCCGGAGAAAAAAATAGAGTACCTGAATCGTTACTAAACATGCCCTAAAAGGTACGTTTGGAAACTGCTTCGCCAGTGGGCTTTTGGGCTTCAAGTCTCTCGGGTAAATGCAAATACCGTTTGATTTCTTAACTTTTTCTATTCCGACGAAAAAAAAAACAGAATAATAGAATCGTTACCAAACATGCCCTAAAAGGTGCGTTCGGAAACAACTTCGCCAGTGGGCTTTTGGGCTTTAAAGTCTCTCGGGTAAATGTAAATACCGTTTGACAAATTTTCTGGAGAGTTTTGCGAAAATACAGTTGCATTTCCAAAATCCAGAAGTATAAGTGTATTTATGAGTTTGGTCGTAAGATTTTATTGCCTTCTTTTCATGAATTTGAAAAAGCCTACTCCCTTCGAAAAAAAAGCATAATTACCGACTTCGAAAGAATATACTCCTTTTTGTAGTGTTTAGAAAGTTTTGATTTAATGGACTCGGAGTGGGGCTTAATAATGAATACGCGGCCTACCCAAACTATTATTTTAATAGATTTCAAGTTGGTTCATTCTTAATGACACGAGCCCACCCATTATTAGCCAATGTTCTTGGGACATATGAACAAATGTAGTTAGTTAATTCGAGCCCTTGATTTTGCCATATGGCGACATTTCTTTATTGACGATCGTATATTTGCAGGAGCATAAATATCTCGGTATCATTCAACTTAGCTTAAAAATTCATCTTAAATGGCAACAAATTTCTCTCTTAAAAAAGAAAAAAGGTCCGTGTAGAGTCAAATGATTGTGAAATGAGTTCACAATAAATTGAAACCATGTTGCTTACAAGCAATACATTCTTTCGTCTTTCCTATACATGCCTAGGTCTGGAATCAAAATATTGAAAATGGACCGACTTGGGCCCGCTTTCCTTCACCAAATGCCATAACACCCTTGAAAGAAAACCACCACCGTGACGGATATTATTACTTTTATAAGTCTTTGGCGCAACACTAATCTGTACGTGTATGCATATTATCCACGCAGAAGATGCGATACGTCCGAATAGTGTATCAACTATATGATAAAAACTTCAAGAAAAATTGTAAGCCGGCATATTCATTATGGTTTGTGAAAGGCCCAATTATCTCATTTTCATGGGCAGTGTCATTTTCATTCATGAATTGATATTGTCAAATTGTGGATGGAGACGGAATTGGAATGGCAATCAGGGAAGAGAGAACGAGCTGAAGAGGCATCAGCTGAGAGGAGAGAGAATGGGGAGGGAGGGAGAGAGAGGAAGATTAGAAAAAGAAAAGGATCAAGATACGATCATGGATGTAAATACTAGGCTAGAGTCGCCATTAATCAATTTAGGTAAACCTAGGTCGATTAGACACCAAAAAGGCCCGGATAGTGATGAGAAAGGGCTTGATGTTATTATATTTGTTCGATGAAAGGTTTTATGTAATTGATATTTTTGTTAAATCATTATAATTGGTTGAAGATTTCATTGTTTGCATGATTTCACCTATCTTCGAGAAATTTCGTGTTTTTCAATACATTCCAGTCGAAGAGTTACGCAGAATCCAAATAAATTTCGCCAAAAAAAGTCCAATCTTTCTTAATGCTTCTTTGTCATAGCCTCAACCTTCATCCGCCGGCCAGCTGTGCAGCCATGTTGCGGGCCTATTACGAACAGGTGCGGCATTCGGACGCACTAGCAGTTGTTGCGAGTCAAGATCGAGCTGCATTAGCAGTCGTTGCGAGTCAGGATCGAGCTACAACACCTTCCGTGGTCATTTCGTCGTCTTTTCTAGTCTCTCGATTTTCTGAAGATCAAAGATTCAACTTGCAAGTGACGACAAGTCATGCTCGGTCTTGTTCTACTCTAAAGGTGCATTTGTTTGGGAGAAAACTTCGAGAAAAAGGAAAATACTTTCCAAAAATTATCTTTCAGGAAAATGGTTAATTTTCTATTGTTTGGTGATATTTGGATCTCATTTGAAAAATGATTCCAATATCATGACTTTATCTCAAGAAAAAAAAAATCGATTTTTAAATTCTCTTTTCTTTTCTTTTCTCTTTTTTTTTTCTTTCTTCCTCCTCCGCTGGTCGTAGGGCCTTGACGACAGCCGGCAATGGCCGACTTGGCCGGCCTCAAGCGAGCTCGACCTTGCCAGATCCTAGTGAGCTCAAGCCTCGCCCGAGGCTGGTGTGGCCGATCGCCGGCCGTCGCCGAGGCCCAGCAACCGACGGAGGAGGAAGAAGGAAAAGAAAAAGAAAGGAAAGAAAAGAAAATATTAAAAAATTCAATATAAGCAATTTCGGAAAGTGTTTTCGCCTTTTGAGATTTAAGAATTCACTTTCATAATTTTATTCATGAATATTTTTCTTGATCGAAAAGTATTTTTGATTGACTAATCATTTTCGGCGAACCAAATAAGTGAAAGTTCGGAAAACTTATTTCAGAAACAAATCTTCTCTAAAACAAACGCACCCCAAGTTCCAACTGCTTCCTATGGATTGGGCGTTACTCGGGTGGCCCTTACCCAAAATCAATTGGGAATTCAATAAGAGTACTCGTCTCACGGATGATGATGTACTTGAAGAAGTAAGCGTACGACATCCTCCGATCGAACTGGACACGATGGAATAGAGCTTCGATTCGATTGGACCAAATCGAAGAACCACCTACAAATTCGGATGCCCCCATTCTAAGGGCTAAGTCAACTAGCAAAAAGCAATCTAATAACTATAGCCACAGGCATTAGAACTCATTCGAATCGCTTCACTTTCTCATCTCATTTCAAGTAAATAAATAAATAAATAAGAATATTAAACTAGAATATAATTTAAGCAACAGATTGTTATTTTTTTCTTTTTTATTCTCGGAGGTCTCTAGCAGTCTCGAAATTATTTGATATCATCAAGTGCTTATCAAACTGAAAGCAAACCGTCAGGATTGATAAAAGTGCAATAAAAAAGATGTAGTAATCGACTAAAAGATCTGCAATTTATTACTT